CCTAAAACAGTTCTTAAACACTGAGCTGGGAACCAAAGCCAGGGGAAGCAGAAAATCATCCTTCAGAGCACTGAGTGGTGTGCTGTGCTCCTCTTCAGAGCTCACAGCAGCTTCTCCCCATCCCCTGAAAGGAACCCTGAAAAGCCAGAGGGCATTGCTGTGGGTCTGCTCCAACTGGGAAAATACTGAGATTATCCCTGAGCAGCACTGACATGAAAAAGGCGCAGTTCTTGTCCTTTTTTTCCAGCCTGATGTTCTGCACTCAGTGCCTGTGTGGCAAAAGGACAATTTGATAATAATCTGCACCAGTGTGAAAGAAGGACAGCAATTGTCTACGCTGGTGAAAAAGGGGGATTAGGAAAAAGGAGAGAAGGTTGGATTTGGGGAAATRCATCGTGACAGGAACATCTGTTGGAGTGGGATCAGCGTCGCTCCTGACATTTGCAGCTCCTGGTTTGATCCATGGCACTTTTGCCTTCCAGGAGTCCCTCTGTACGATCCACTGGATTTTTTCCATCTCTGAAACTGTCTGTGACTGTCTGTCTGATGCTCCCTGGGTGATGAAATATCATTATAACCTTTTGAAATAATATATCGGTGCCTGGAGAGYGGAGACTGATTTTCTCATTTGCGAGTGAGAGGCAGTGTGTTAAATTACTGCTCCTGTCATTAAAGGGATTGAGGGAAAAAATCTGATGTGCTTAAAGCAGGACATTTTTCCCCTCCCTAAACAAACCACCTCAGATTTCACCTTGTGGGGAGCCAGGAAGGTGAGGATTAGAAGTTTAAATAATGTTCATCATACTCCCTGAAGCTTTAGTTTCTTGCTTGACACCTGCAAATTTCAGCAAATCTGACATGGGAGCTTTTCTACTGACTTCCAGAGGATGAGGGAGCCTGTGCTGTGTCTGTCATAGATCAGGAGGCATAAAATTCATCCTTCTGGGCCATGGAAGCTTCTGCTTGTTCATTTGGCTCTGGGAAATYTGATCTTGAGCAGTCTGGGATAGTGGAAGGTGTCTCTGCCCCTGGCAGGGGATGGAACTGGATGAGCTTTGAAGTCCCTTCCATTCTGTGATTCTGTGAAATGTGAAAAAAAATCCCTGTGCTGACAAACCCAGTGACTAAGTACATGAGTAACTGTGCTCAAGAATTGGACTTTTTCATCTTTGGAGCATAAATGAGAAAGTTGTAGTGTTGCTTCAGCTGATTTTTTAAAATCACATCAAGCAGCTGACACAGTTCCCCACGGCATTTGTTTCTGTCTCTTCGTACAGGGCAAATATTGATAATAATCTGATATTTCTGAGCATTGTAGCTGGCACCATTTGAACCCCCAGCCRTGGTGATGAATTGCTCTATGATATATTAATGTTATTTTGATCCCAGCCCCTCCAGAATTACATTGATCCAATTAGGTTAAGTAGCTTGCCATCTAAATTAATTTACTTCCCTTTATTAATCTCCTTTACTCCGGGTCAARAGCAGAAATGTAAATCAATCCATAATATTGCATTTCTTTGGGGGGGGTGGGAGGGTAATTAAATTACCCAATAGATACATGTGCTGGGATGATTGTTGGGTGTGTTAAACATGATTGCCATCATTGGGACGTGAAGTGGTTCACACTCAGTAGTGAAATTTGAGTGCTTGTTACACTTCATTTCCATAACCTGGCCAGASAAGCCTTGCAGTCCCTGGGTGCTGATCCTACACAGGTTTTAGGATATTGGACATTTTGTAAGTGGAGAAAACAGCTCCTTCCTGTGCCAGGAACTGCTGGAGTCCCTGGCAGCGTTTCAGAGAGGCTTCACCCTCTGCAGCGAGGAGGAAACCTTGGCTGCTCTCGGGCTGGCACCTGGCAGAGAAGGAGATGTCTCAGCAGGGATATCTCACTCACCAGGCTGAAGGAGGGTTGGTACAGGCTCCTGGAAAATTCTTCTTTCCAAAATTTCCATGGGTTGGTACCATCAAATCCCAGAATAGTTTGGGTTAGGAGGGATCTTAAAGCTCATCCAGTGCCACCCCTGCCATGGCAGGGACACCTCCCACTGTCCCAGGCTGCTCCAAACCCCCATGTCCAGCTTTCTGTTCCACACTGGGACATTCTTCTTCTTTTCTCAGGTTAGTCCAGCAGTGGGATTCCATCCTCTTGGATTTCCAGTATTTTCAGGGTCGATACCAAACTTCCCTCCTGACAGGGACATTGCTGATCCCAAAAATTTGTTTACCTGCTACGTTTCCTCCCTTTAGTGAGTAGAACTGTCCAAGGCAGACTCAAACAGAAATGAAACTCTGATGTGAGGGAATGAGATGCAGTTGCTGGAAGCTGAATGTTGGCACAGTTAAAATAAATACAAAGTGCAGTGGGTTTGGGCTGGGCTTAGTTAAAATCCTGCCARGTTTGTGACAGCTCCATCATCCTGGGACATCCAAACAAGGGTAAGAAAATGGATCTGGTTCCTTCCCTGTCGCTGTAGCAGAAGATAAATTTGGGTCAAATGACCCCTGTAATGGGGCAGGGCAGGCTGGTGATCACAACTCCCTTCTGGTGTTCAAACCTGCAGATCTGTGGAATATTTTCTAAATCCGCGCCCGAGGGCAGAACGAGCAGCAGCAGAAAGGTCACCTTTATCATCATTGCTGTCAAACACCTTGGAAACAGCAGAGCACAAAGCAGGAGTGCTGCTCAATCACTCTGCCCTTCTCATACACCTGTTACTGTGCTTTGTCCCTGGAAATAAAACCCATTCCCTGTCCTGAATGAAACCCCACTCCTGAAAAGAGCACAGCAAAGCTCTGCTGGCCTCAGCAATGGGATCCTGCCTTCACAAAGGTAATTAATGCTGCTCAGTGCAGAGCTGAGCAGTGTTATAGAAATAATGATAATTGTGGGAGCTGCTGCTCTCTGTGGTAATATGACAGCAGGAAACAGAGAGGGACTTTCTGCAAGAGAGTGCAGTGACAGGACACAGGGAATGGCTTCACACTGAGCCAGGGCAGGGTTAGATGGGATTTTGGGAAGGAATTGTGCCYTGTAGGGTGGGCAGCCCTGGCACAGGGTGCCCAGAGAAGCTGTGGCTGCCCCTGGATCCCTGGCAGTGCCCAAGGGATTTTGGTTGGAGCTCTGAGTACATTGGGACAGTGGGAGGTGTCCCTGCCCATGGCAGGGGTGGGATGGGATGAGCTTTAAGGCCCCTTCCAACCCAAACCATTCTGGGATTGATTGGACACAGCCCAGTTTGCTCCTGGCAGGGTTTGTGGAGGCTGCAGCACAAGAGCTGAGATCACCATGGTGGTCAAGAGTCCTCTGAGACACCCCAGGGGTCCCTGTGGAGCTGGGTGCTGTAATTTATTATTGTGTATCTAAATGAACAGGGGATCTTTGGTTGGGCACCCAAATCCTGCTGTGGTGCCTGAGATGCAGTTCCTGTGAACCCACCAAATGCTGCAGCGTTTCAACATTCCCTATCTCTTAATACCTAATATTTCCCACAAGCTGAAAAATGTAAAAGTTAAATGTGAGAATCTCTGCTTGAATACTCACTATAATRTGTTGGGGCTTCATTTTTTGCCTTGCCACTTCCTTATTTTCTTTTTTTCCTTTTCTTGTTAGTTTTTGGTCTTGTTTCATTCTTTTCCCCCCCCTACCTCAAGGTAGAGGTAGGAAAATAGGCTTTTAAAGCTCTCCCTAATAAATGTAGAGTTCCTAACACAACCAGATCCTGATGGAGCCACTGACTATTAATGTGCTGCAAATTGATCAGTAATGAAAATTAAATGTGTGTTTATGCTCTGGTTTCAGTGTTTATACCAACACCAGAAATGTGTACCACGACTGTAATGGTTCCCACCAGAATATTTGCAAGGGTGCAGCATTAAATCAGCTTTTATAAATAACAAAAGGGCCTGGTTTGTTCAAATGAGCAACCCAAGGGAGAAGCACCTCTGAAGTGGGACAGAATGAGAGATGTGAAATGTTTTGAAAAGTCAAGGATTTACAACTTTTCTGAAAATGATGGTGGCATTTATCTCTTGGCTTCTTCTGTATTTTACCTTTGCAGTTCAGCAGAAATTTTGTCCCARTTCCAGGATGTTTGTGATGAGGATGCAGCTCAAGAGTAAATGTGAATGAGCGTTCCTCCTCCTGGCTTTGTTCAAAATGCTCTTTGGAGAARGAGTTGAGAAACAGATCGATAGCAAGAGTCCTTTTTTAAAATAAAGAGGCAGATGCAGCTTTTCCTCTTCCATGAATTCCCCACTAAAAGAATTGTTTTCGTGGTTGTCACGCACATGCCCCTCCCTGGAGGTTCCCAGAAAATGACAATTGCATGTCAGAATTGTTTTATCTCGTTGCCAAAGGCAGGAGGGGAAGTGTGGAGAGGATGGGAACAAACTGCCTCRTGCCAGACATGGTCCTGCACAGTCTCCTGTGAAATTGTTGCGTTTCCATTTGTGAATATCCTTTCTGATGATCACAATAAATCCAGTGCTGTAAATCCTGTGATGTTCGTGGAGTGTTTTCCCTGGAGTGGCAGTGGAAGGAGTTTGTTTCCCTCACCAAGAGCTAAATTAGTCTTTGGGTGGTCGCTGGCTGATGAATACACCAGATTAGAYGGGGAAAATAAGGAACACAAGGAAAACATTTTCCTTTTCAACAAACCACCATTACTTAACAATACCCCAGCCCCCAGATTTCCCATTTAACCTAAAATGTGTTGAAAATTACATGGAAGATTCAGCACTGAAACGTGCTGGCACGCAGCCCTCATTTGGAAGAGAAAACAGTCTGGAAACTTGTAGTTTTATCACAATTACCCCAGGAAGTGTTYGTGTCCTGCAGCTTCAGTATCTGCAGTTCCATTTTCCCTTAATCCCCGTAGTCATTGTGTCCTTAACCCCTGGATTTCATCCGTGTGTAAAGTGGAGGTTCTAAAGGATAAATCCAAGGTGAGGTGACCCTAATGTGCTGTGTTTTTATTTTTATTTTTTTTTTCCAGGGGCCTGTTAGCCAGAGGTTTCACCGAGACCCATTACCTGGAGGATGGCACGGACGTGGTTCTCAGGCGCAATCACACGGTAACGCTGAGCTCTGCTGGGCAAAGATGCTTCACCCYCAAAATCCAGAGTGTTCTGTGCCAGGATCTGAGCCCTGGCATGAAATAGTTCCACCTGTGATCTTTTTTTTTGTTGTTTCCTTCAGTGTCTGTCTGGCTGCTCTGATCTACGCAGGGATTTTTAGAGGGAGACTTTAAAGGCGAGAGTTTAAACCCTGGGGTTTGAACCAGGTGACTTTTAAAATTTGTGAGAGTTTTTTTTCAGCTTCTGGGAAATAAACCCATTGAAATTTGATAATTGTGGCAGCCTTGGTGATAAGTTAYGGAGGAAAGCCCTGATTCTGTTTGGAAAAAAAAAAAAACCCTAAAAAATCTGATTTCCATAGTGCAAAAGTTCATGTCAGAAGTTTGAAGGCTTGAGTGTCTTTCCTCACTGGGGAAGTCATGGCTGGGGTGTGGGAGAGGGTGTTGGTTGGGTTTATTTTTAAATAAACCACAAATGTGTTRTGGATGTACYTTMTAACARTATTTGTGTGTGTGTATGTKTATATYTATRTACGTGTATAAATATGTATATATACAAAATACAGCTTGTTAAAACAAGTCATTAAAACCTGCTTTTTCCAAATAAAAACCCCTCAAGGCGGGAATGTGTTTGTCCTCTGACAGCAGGAATGCCTTAATTAGAAATAATGCAGCAAGCCATTTTAATTACAAAGCTTATCTCTTATCTGCCTAAGTCCCATCAAATATTTGTTACGTTGTGGAATTTACTTATTTCCACTTTCAGCAGAGGCTTCGTGCTTTGTGTTCCCATCCATAATGGGCTTTGCTGGGATCAGGGRAAGAAATAATTTCTCTGCATAACATCTTACTTGTGAAAGAGCATCTTCATTATAGCTGCAGACACCCCAAGCACAGCGATCATTCCRAAAGCTTTCGGTGCTTTCATTTTGCTGGGTGCTCATATCTCCTTCAAAATCAGCTCAGGAGAAAAGAGTCATTTGTTTTGGGAGCAGAGGCTCCTGGAGGAAGGGAAAGGAAATAAATGACACACACGAGTCTTTTAGAGATTTACCTGAGTTAACAGGAGTATGTGTGCACCTATTGACAGGTTTTCCTTCCTAGAAAACAATATCTGTTTGCACAACGGCAGCAAGTTGTGATTAATAA